GTGTTAAAAGCGTCGAGTTATGAACCGTTTTTCGGCACAATTTCATGAAAGCCATCACAAATTGTAAGTCCGCAAGACCGCAAATATACGTGAAGTGTGCCTTTGATTTCTCACAATATGACCCCTTAAAACAAAACAAAAACAAAACAAAAAAATCATGTTCCGGTTTCGTTCAATAATTAAAACGAAGAAGAAGGAGCGAGAGTGCATTGGCGAAAATGTTTGAGCTTCCGGTTGATGACGCAATCCGTTCTGGCGGGTTTGGAGTCGCGCGCGCAAGTACAATACAGTAGCTGAGAGAGCGGCTAGCAGAACAGCACTTTATTCAAAAATAACACTCGATTATTATTATTGTTTGTTTAATATAGCATTTTTTCAGTGCTCGCTACCAGAGACTTCAATCATGCACGTGATCAAGAGAGGTGAATCCCACTCGTCCTCCAATTACTTGGTTTATCTGCAATGTAGTGAGAAAATGTACAATTGCAAATATAGGCAAAAAACGGAATGCACATATAACTAAGCTTACGTATTGTTTGTGTAATACTCTCATAACCACGATTATGTCCAATTCGTAAATCAAACACTCATTGACCTTAATCGTGTAGCAGTGTCTAAATATAAAGAGAAGAACGTGAATGTGTTCATATGAAGACTTGATTAAGGATGCAGATTTATTGATCGTGTGTTTTTATATTGATTTTCACAACTACATAACTTTACCTTTGAGAATGCTATGTGCTTATGTTAGCAGCACCTGATGACTAGCTATGTTCTTTGTTAAGTCAAGTTGGCGCCAACCGCTTCACATAGCCAGTAACTGCTGTAAATCGTTATGTAATAGGTTGATCTAACTTAAAATTGTTATGCCTTGCTCATTATCAGGATATGTTAATGCACTTTTCATGTTTCTATTGGCAATTCTTTACCTGTCCCATGTTTTCGTGATTATGGATGGTGTTCTATTTGGCTTATTGTATTATTAATGACTCGTTTTTGTTTATCTGGTGTTTTTCTTGTCTCAGATGGGCGCCAGGAGCGTGTTATGTTTGACAAAATCACATCACGCATCCAGAAACTTTGCTATGGACTCAACACTGAGTTTGTTGATCCTGTAAGTTATGAAATGCATAAAACATCTAACATTTGTCACACTTTCTAAGGTCAATCATGTTTAAGGTTGCATCCAAAGATTCGAATTAAACTTGTGCAAAACTGGAATATCGCATAAAACATATGCGAATTAAGCACCGTTTCCATCCTAGGAGTCAAAGAACAAAATCGTCACTTCCTGGTAAACTGTGGCACTAATGGTGCGTTCAAGTCATGTCGGATAGATCGTATTTACGAGCAGTGTTGCCAAACCCCTCCCTCAGGAAATCTCTAGAACCACCCTCAAAAGTCTCCATTTTTCACAAAAAGTCGCCAAATATGAAAACAAAGTAAATTTTGTAAAGGTAAAGGAAAGTAAATGTGTATATATATATATATATATACTTTACAAATTATGACAGTATAAAAAAATATAACAAAAGATTAAGTATAACAAAAAATTCTGAAGTGAAATTAGGAAATGCTTGTGATCTGCAAGCACATCAAACATGATGGAAAGACACAATGTTGGGAATTTGTTTTATGTGTCACCAAAGTGCATCCCTGTCCTGCTCAAATACAACAGATAAGAGATATTATGATTCTCCAAAAACAAAAACTTTACTCATACAAACTTATTTCAGTCAACACACTCTATTACTACAAAGTAAGTGCAAAATACTGCATCCCAGCACAGATGACACAATGATACTCTCTCTCAGTATCGGGTTGACATGACTGTGCATGAATTGTATAACTTTTGTGTCTGTGGTTAAAACAAGATGTTAATTTTTTTTTCGCCATCTTGATTGATGCTTATAATGAAATTGTGGTGTTCGTCTTGGCAGGCGTGGCGTATTGGTGTGTTCTGCGCAGACTCATTGGCATGATTGAGAGCAAAC